AATGAATAACAACAATTAATAACAGCGCTTTTTTTGGGAATGAATGCCCCCATTATCAACATATTTTATAAGTTTGTCTAATAGTTTACGTTAAGTTTAAATTTGTCAATTTCAAATCAACAAATAAAAATTTTATTTTAAAGAATTAAAAATCTTGCTGGACAAAATACCCGATGACTTTGTAAATTGATTGAACAATCTGAGGTTTTAGCCGGACAATGTCCGATGTCTGACTGTTAAATTAAGCCCTGTATATATATAAATGGATGATTTTTTATCAAGCCTAGTTCTGTCATATAGTTATTATAATATAGTTTTATGTCATATAGTTGTGTCATCAGCAATTAGTGCCACTATAAAGCTAAGATTATAAAGAGGATTAAAAACAGGAGTGATTTCACTTTTAACAATATTATACTTAAACTTAAATTTTTGCACCAAGAGCTGCTTACCCATTACTGACACAAACCAACATGAATATTTGTCAAAATTTTAAATAAATCAAATTAATAGAAATATTTTTCAATGGTACTGAGCTGGTGATTAATTGCTTTGCAATTTTTATGGACTTTTTCTACAAGCGCCTGCATTTGATAAAACATTTTAAAATTGATGAAATAAAAAAGCGATATTGACTTAAGAAAAACATAAAACACCTGAAGAAGATTTAGTAAGCAGCAGCAACAATGATGAAGCGACAATATCAAAATAGCTAACTTAATTAACATAATCTGTTTAATAAAGGTTCTTAGAAGATATATGAGCACGCAGTTCTTCCAAACCATCTAAATACATTTTAGAGATTTTGCTTAGATGCTAAAAAATCAAAGAAAAAAATCAATGCATGAAATCATTAAGAGGTCTTTAAAACCACTTGTGGAAAAGTACAAAGTTGCAGCAGCCAATTTTTTCAAATACACATAAATACACTTGTGTATGACAGCTTCAGATAAAATTTTCAGTTCTGTTATCCCTGCCAGGGAAATTACAAAGGCTGTTGACAAAAAATAATAATTGAAGTAGACATGATTTTAATGTATTTTCCTATTGTTTTAAAACTATGCTAGCATACAAGGCTTGATAATTTAGTGTGCTGAATGTGCATATTTTGCATTTAAAAGTAATTTTGACTATATATATATATATATATATATATATATATATATATATATATATATATATATATATATATATATTGATTATGAATGATCAAATATTTTTAGTTTTAACTGTATATATGTATGTTTGTATGTATATATGTACTATAACATGTAGAGAACACTTAAGTAACATTTTTGCTTACCTTTTTCTACAAAGTTTTTTTTTGAAAAATTTTTTTTTTTTTTTTTTTAATTATTCACCTCCCCAAGGCTCGAAGGGGGCTACTACAGTCATAAAGGCTACTCATTTTTTTTTTTTTTTAATAAAAAAGGCATGTGACATCTTAACAGAAGCACTATTTTATAATTAAACCATAAATGTGATTTACAAAGCCTTAGCTTAAGCTTTTGAAAAAATACTTCACTAATGTCTTTTTTTAAAACTTGAAGCATATAGCATAGATAGTGCACTCTTGAAGTGGATAACAGACTGGTTAAAAAAACGAAAACAGAGAGTGGCTATCAACAATAGTAAGTCTAAATGAGAAAGTGTTACAAGCAGATTTCCACAAGGTTCAGTGTTAGGTCCACTTTTGTTTCTGATTTATATAAACAACCTTCCAGGCATGCATTGTGAATCATATAAAGATATATGCCGATGACATAAGATCTTAAGGGCCATCAAAACCGAAGATGTTGCAAAACTGCAACTAGATATAGATCATGCAGTTGATTATGGTCAAAGATGTGGCTCATGTTTTTTAACCTTGACAAATGTAAAGTCATGCATGCTAGTCACTCAAATAAGTCAGTGTGCCTTTACTCAATGCTTGACAAAAACAACAATCCAATAGAACCAGTGCCGCTGAAATGGAGGGGGTTACGAGGGACAGTTTGTCCCGGGCAGCAGATATCCAAGGGGCTCCAAATGAAATGTAAGTACCTAAAAAAAAAAATAAAATAAAAGGATTGCTGTTCCAGATGGCGTGACAGCTCTTGGCAGCCCTGAGTAGATTTTGGAACAACAATTATTAAATGTGACTTAGGTGTCCTAACATCAAACAACTAAAAGGTTAGGCATCAAGTAAAAGCTGCAGGAGCTAGATCAAACCAAGTACTTGGTAGACTAAAAAAATCATTTTGCACTAGAGGGATAATGTTAAAGAGGGTACTCTACACAATATACATTTGAACTCATCTTGAGTATGCCATCCAAGCTTGGACTCCTCACCTAAAAAGTGGCATAAAAACACTTGATTGAATTCAACAGCAAGCAACAAAAACTATGAGGATAGACTGGTCATACTCAATCAAGAAGAGCACTCTAGAAGAGCAATGAAAAAAGGCGACCTGATTCAGTAGTATAAAGTTGCAAATGAAAAAGAAAAAGTTGACTTTTCCGACTTAGTTCCGCAAGTATATGCACCATCTCTATCAGAGTATATTCTAATTGGACATAATCAACAACTAAAAGGCAAATTATTTAAACTTACCAAAAAGAGGTGCTTTTAAAGCTAACCAGGACATACTATGTGTCCTGAATTACGTCATCATAGTGGTGCTTGGTGCTGCACCACTTCATCAGAATTTACAACTAAAACTTTATCTTTTATGACTTTAGTTTTGCTTGTTAAATTTTGATTTATGTATGTATGTATGTACATACATAAATCAAAGTTTGTTAAATTTTGATTTATGTATGTATGTAGTCTTTTCTTAAAAAGAAAAAAAAAACATGTTCAAGTTTACTTAAATTTATTGAAAAATATAAAACAGAATATAAAACAGAAATAATGAAAAAATATATAACAGAAATAATGAAATACTAGTATAAAACAGAACAAAACATAAAATAGAAAAAATGAAAAATCAAAGGAAAGAAATAGTGGATACTATTAGGTGCTTAATACGTGAAAGTGGGTATTAATTAATTTTTAGAAAATTTCCTTTCCATCCTGAGCCTTTCCCACTCACCCACCCTTATTAAGACCCCCTAACACCCATCCACCCTTGATAAGACCTCCTTCCTGCTCCCATTTATTAAATATTACTTTTTATAAACAAAGAAACTTTATCTAAATTTAAAAAAAACTAGTTTTTAGTTATTATTTTTTTAAAGACCTTAACCAGCCCTAAAAATTTGAAAATATAAACTCACTTAGAAATAAAAACAAAAAATTCCCTCCAATCTGTTTAATAAGGTCTTCCCCTCCATTTTACTACTATTTTATTTCCACCCATCATGTGTTAAGCACTTAAGAGTAAGTTGACAGCAATGTAACTAAAACAGTAATGACCATATTAAATTGTCCCTTAATTTTTTGTTAAGTTAAGCATGGTTACAAAGATAGATATTACTACAAATGATATACAAATTAAGTTTGTGCATCATCATGGTCATCATCTCTCAGTGGATAAAAGGTTTGGTCAGTTGGGTTTGATGTCTGTTATGTATTTTTGTCAAATTTAATTGTAGTAACTAATGTCAACAACAAGATCAAAGCAAATATATAACATTGAAATGAATAACTAAATTTATATAATTAATAAATTTTAATTTGAAGAGTTAAAAATTTTTGGGATTTTTATTTTATTTTTGTTTGTTGAGTATCTTATATATTTTTTTCTTGCTTTGTTTATTTATCTTAGTTTGATAAACATAAACATGTTTTATAAGTACAAAATTTAAGTATATTTGACAGTTTTTATTTCTGTTTTAAGAAAGAAAACAATTTGATTTTTTGAAATAACTCTAAGTAAATTATTCAAAATAACCTCTGGAATAAAAAAATAAGCTAATCATTTTTATTTTTTTAACTTAACTTGCCCTAGTGAATTTTAATAAATTTTTGAAATTCAGATCAGATTTTATAAAACTACCAAGAAAACAGAAAAAGTAAGTCAGCTGTTGTTGACTAAGAGAACAGTTTTGATGTGGTCTATGTTTCAGATACATTACTATCAACTTACTCACAGATGATAAATACATGGGAATAAAAAGATTGAAATTCATTTCCAGATCTAATAAATGGAGAAAGGGGTGTCATTAAATAGGTGGGTGGAAATTTTTTAATTTTTTTAAAATTTGAATAAATTAATTAATTTTTTTTCTCTAAGTGAGTTTATGTTTTCAAATTTTTAAGACTGGTTTAGGTATTTAAAAAGTATTAAAACTAAAAATTAGTTTTTTTTTATTTGGAGATGATAATTTAAGAGATGATAAACTCAGGTGGTTAGAACAATTTTCTGAAAATTGATCAATATTTAATTCTGTGTATTAAGCACCTATGAATACCACCTTTTTTTATTTTGATTTTTTTATAATTTTTTTTTTTTTGAATTCCTTTTTTATAAGTAAAAAATTTATGCAAATTTGAACATGTTTTTTTTTCTTTTTAAGACCACGTTCTAATTCTTTTTAACAGCTCTAAGCTATTTAGGACAAAATTAAAAAAAAAAATTATATTATCCCTGCCTGAAAATATGTCAGTATACATATTTTTAGCTTTCCATTGAACACAAAACAGAAATAAAAGCCCCAACCACTTTTTTTAAATAGCAGATTTTTGTTGGTTTAAGGCAAATTTAAAATAGATATATCTTTAAAACCAGTTGGAATTAGATAAAGAAATTTTGGGTACAATGTAATAAAATCTTTGAGTCATGTCAAAATCAACAAAATCTGAGACCTAGGGTTGCATTTAAGAAAAATTGGGTGTTTTCAAATGGAAATACCCTTATATTATATATACCATATAGTTTATACATTATTTAAAAACTTTATGCTAAATATTTTTTTGTTGAAAATTTTATTTATGGTGACGCTGTATTTTTTTATGTTGAAAAATTAATTTATCAAGTTCACTGTTAAAAGTTAGACTTTTTATTTTGTTTTCTCAGACCATTGAAAATATTCTTAATATAAGAGAGCAGCTTGTTTGCAGTAATAAGAATGGATTTGGAAATTTTGAAATTGAGTTTCGAATAAATATTTATCCGATAAATTTTAATGGATACAATGAATTATTGAAGATGTCTTCTAACTTTACAAGTATGTTTTCTAATGCAAGTGCAAGTTTTATTGATGTGAATGTTTTATATGGGAACATTAAATGTAAATGTTTTGTATGGGTAATAGTTATGGCTAAGAAGTGAAAGTGTGTCTTAACTGTATAGTAAGCATTGCTTAGTGGCAATGTTATATTGGGTGTTTTTGGGTGTTAAGTAAAAAGGATGTATTGGCGAGTAGTAAATGGGGGATAAATGTTGCTATGAGATAGTAGTTTTAGATACTTCTGAAAACTAAAAATTAAATTTAACTGTGTGTGTGTAATGTTTAACACACATTCACTTACTTACTATCACTTACAAGTTTAACTATTTTTTTTAGAATGTGCAAATGACTCAAGTTATGATTCAACTTGTATTTATCTTAATGTTACTCATTCTCAAAGTAAAATTTTATTTTTATTTTTTTTTTAATGATTACAAAAAAAAAAAAAAAAAAAAAATGTGCTAATGAGTTAAGGTCACAAAAGTTTTGATTGATTAAAAGACCTTGATTAGTTAATTTCAAAGTTTTTAAAGTGTGTGTCAAACTTTTTTTTAATTGTAATGAATTAATTGTGTTAGTAAACTGTATATTCATCAATTCAGAAATATGAGAATAAATGACATGAAGTTTGTTTGTTAGGATACTAGTGTATATTAGACTCATTACAAGTGGTATATTTCTACCTTTTAACACCTTCAAGGTGTTAAGAAAGGTAAAGTTTACCAATATTTAAATCCATTCATCTGGATCTTTGAGAGTCTAGGTGTAAAAAAGAAACTTTTTATGTTATTTAGAAATGTGGAAAAAAGTTGGTATGAAAATATATAAATAAATAGTAAAAAAACAAAATAGAAAGGTGTTTGAAAAAGTGATTATGTATAATTTCAGTAATTTATAAATAATATATATTTAAATAATAAAATGTTTAAATAAAATTTGGTAATTGTTATACAATAGTTGAGGTCATATTTGTTAAAAAAAAAGAGCAGCCTTGGTACAGTGGTAGCACACTTGCCTTAGAAATAAAGGATCTGTGGTTTGAACCCCACCTCTGGACAAGTTTTGCAACATTGATAAAGTAAGAAGCGTAAACTTTACGGGTACCTTCTTCTGCAATGCTCTCTGATAAGACTGTAAGGACTTTATGGGCACCAAAAAAAAAGAAGTTATAAAAATTAAGTAAAGAATATAATAACTTATTTTTTCACTTTATTATTCATTTATAAACAATTTTTTTTCTTTTATTAGACAGCAGCATACAACCAGTTGTTCTTCCTACAGGTATTTGAAACAGTTTTAAAGGTAGCTGTGAGTATTTTAACAAGATTTAGTTGAAAGAATTAAAAAAATTACAATTGATTTTTTCATACAAACAAAAGCATTTACACCAAAAAAAAAATGTTTTTTTATTAATTTATTTGCATTTTACAATATAAAATATTTTATTTAAAAAAAATTTAGTCCTAAATAAAAATCCACTGTGGTTTATATAGTTGTTATAACATTATAAAATTGAAACCATTAGTTTTAACTCTAATTAAAGTCAATTACTATAGATACTATAGCAACTATAGTAAATAAATTAGATTATAAATTATTTCCGAAGCAATACTTATGAAAAAAAAAAATGGTTTCAATGGTAGCACAGATGAAATACCACTGAATTTTATTGTTTCTGCCATAAATACATTATTATTGATTATTTAAAAACAACAATTTTTGGGTTATCATTATTAGATCACCAGTCACTGTTTTAAATTATTCATAAGTGATAAAATTCTAGTAAACTATAAATAAATAGACAACAATGTCCAATTTTTTAGTGATTTTAAAAGTTTTGGATGTTCTTTTTTGCAAGATAGCATCAAAATTTAAAAAAAGTACCATGTTTATGACTAGCTTTAGCTCAGAAATATTTGGTATATAGGCATACTAGATGATTTGAACCTTTTTTTATTATAAAATTATTATTCAGATTGGAACACATTAGAAAAACAATTAGCTCCAAAATAAACAACTGATTTTTTTGCCCTAAATTTGTGATGAACCCAACTGCTTTGCTTAGATTATTACATGATAATTAAATGGTTACATGATTATTACTTGGTTATATGACTGTTGCATAATTACATGATTATTACTAAATTACATGATTATTACATGATTACATGATTATTACATGATTATTACATGATTATTACATGGTTATTACTAAATTACATGGTTATTACATGATTATTATGCATAAATTTTTGTTTAGGTTATATTAGCAATAAAGCCGAGTTTACTTTGGATAAAGGTTTATTGCTTGGAACACTCTTTGTTTTAAAAAAAGTGTATACTGTGTCTTTTAAAGTTAAACCCACAAAATACAGCAAATGTTTAAAAAGTGTTCTTCATTTGACATTGGGTCAAGATTTTATTTATCACGGTGATAGAACTCCTGGTGTTTGGTTTCATGAAGATGGTTCTGGAAAACTTGTTATTTTCAATGCAGTGAATGCCAATGCCAACTATCTTGTCGAAACAGCTCCTCTTGCTTTAGATAAATGGTCTTCTGTTAAAATTTCTCAAATTATGCTTGGTAATAAATATTGGTATTCTGTTGACTTAAATGGAGTCAATATTCATCGAACTGAAAATTCCAATGCTAGAGATTTTCAAAATGTAAAAGTGTATGCCTCTGATCCTTGGTATGATGCTCAAGATGGTTCTATGACTGACCTTTTAATTATTAATGGAACACCAGGTAAGCCATATACTGTTTTTATTGCTTTTTTATATTATTATATTATTTTATGTTTTATGTGATTAGTATTTTATACCTTAGAGTTTCTTGTTGGTAATACCCCTACTCCATTGTTGAAAGGAAAATTAATTGCTGAAATACCAAAGCTTGATAAGGATTATTTAGTTTCACTTGACTTTTTTCCAAATAAAATTATTCAAGGTTCGCATGGTATTATTTATTTTTCTTATGGTTCTAACTATGGAGTTCTTGGCATCTTGTGTTGTGATTATGGAAAACTTCTAGTTATGACGCCACTTTATGGTTACTTTGATGTATTCATTTCAAACTATTATCCCTTTACTACCACAAATCAAATAAAAGTATTTCAGTGGTTGAACATTGAAATAGCTCAAAATTTAATTGGCACAAATTATGTATACACAATCAAAATAAATGGAGAAACAGTTTTTACTAAAGTTAACAAAAAAGCTCAAAGTTTTGATAATGTTAAAGTATATGCTTCTGATTTTCTTGAATTCTTTGACACTCAAGATGGTTCTGTGAAAGACTTTTTTATCATCAACGGCATATCAAGTAATATTTTTTTTTTAAATATTTAAGTTACATCAGAAAAAGGTTTTGCTTTAAAATTTAGTGATTTATATAGTTAAATTTTTTATCATCATCATATTCACATCATCATAGTCACATCATCATACTCACAGTTCAAATGTATTAAGTTTATGTATTGTTTAAGTTCATTTTTAAATTTCATAACAAAGTTTTATTTTTTGCATTTAATATTTTTTTACTTTTTTAGACAGCAGCATGCAGCCTATTGTTGTTCTTCCTAAAGGTATTTTTTGTTTTAATTTTTAAAATAGAGTGTAGAACATCATAAATTCACATGTTGAGCAAAATTGATGTTTTATTTTTCCAGTTAATTAAAATGTGGATCTGTTGGTAAAAATATTTTCTGATGCGTAGTTTGATTTATATTTAAGACCCAAAAAGAAATAAACATTTTTTTCTGTAAAAAAATAACTCATTAAAGTTTAAATTTTTTGTTTTATTTTTATTTATTTTTTTGGAATTGTGTTACAAATTTTTTTTAATGCTTGTGTATTTTTTTAGAAATTATAAGGTAAAGTAATATTTGGGCAGCGATTCACCTTGTGTCTGTCAGGGATCATCTAAGTTTTTAGTCAAATAACCAAAAATTTCTTCAAATAATTTTGGAATTAAAAGGTAATTTAAAAAAAGATATTAAATTTTAAAGTTTTTGGCCTTAAATTAAAACTGTAATGCTTTGTTAAAATATAACCATTTAGCTGGTACTATTGCTCTCAATTTAAACCTATTTTAAAAGTTTTTGGAAATTCCTAATGATCACTGAGTAAACTTTAAAAGGTATAAAGGTATTTGGTAAGGCAGTTCTTATATATATATATATATATATATATATATATATATATATATATATATATATATATATATATATATATATATATATATATATATATATATATATATATATATATATATATATATATACATATCCCAAAAAAGTTTTGTGATGAATAAACTATTTTTTTTGACCATAAAATAAAAATTTAAAATTTTTTTATGCAAAATATTGCTTTGTAGCTTTTTGCTGGTACCATTGCTTAACATTTTAGGCCTATTTTGGAATTTTTCTAAAATTTGTAGCGATCCTTGATAAATACAAGTTGAGGTATTTCCCAAAATTATTTCACCAAAAAATGCACAAAAATTAAAAAAAAAAAATTGTAATGCAATAGAACAAAATAGTAAACAAAAATATTAAACTAATAATCAAAATAGTAAACAAAAATTTTAATGCAATAGAACAAAAAGTAAACAAAAAATTTTAACAATAAGATATTTTTTTTTATAGAAAGAAAAATTTTTTAAGGTCTTCTTTTTGGGTTCTTTATAAAATAGACCAATTTTTTTCACCAAAAGTTTGTTAATGAACATGTTTTAGTTAACTAGAAAAACAAAATTAGTGGTGTTATTTTTATCACTGACAAATAAAAAATAACTGATAAATAATAAATTGAAAAAATCAGTCATAAGTAATAGATCAACATTTTTTTTGTATAAGTATTTTCATTACATGCCTTTCATAATAATAACTTTAAAAAAAGTGTCACTGTTCAATTATATAAATACTGCTCGTTGAGGATTTTGTAAAATTAACAGTATTATGTTTTCTTTATGTTAAAAAAAAAGAAAATCCGAAACGGAGTATTTTTTTAATAGTTATTATAAAAATATAAAAAAATAATTAAATTTTTTTGAAATAACTTATAAAACTTTGATTATTCACCTTGAAAAAATTATTGCTTATTATGTATATGCAGATTTGAATAAAATTCAGCCTTTTTCTTCATGCTTGGTATCCAGATCATTATAATGGTTCTTTTTAGGTCTTCTTGGAACACAAAAAAATTTTTTTATAACCATGACTACATGGATCGTAAAAGCATTTAACTTGGAGGTTCATCATTGGTGAGCATAGCGCAATGCAAATGCTCTAATCACTTGCGTCACATCTGCTCTAAATAACTTTGATTTATTCTCTAATCCAGAAATATGGCTTTAATCTGTTTTATTCTTTACTGAAAACAAACTTAGTTCAGCAAAATGTTTTAAATATAAATTAAAAACCTTTTTAAATATAAAATTGCATACAAAAATTAAAATCAAATGTTCTGAAAATACATATTAAAAATCCAGTTTTTTAGAAAAAAAAACAAGTACCTTAATCAAAAGAGCCCCCTTAAGTATAAGAGCCTGTTGCTATTTTATTGGATAGTTTGTTTTTTTAAATTCATTAAGGTTTAAGGGTATCCTAACCAGGGTAAAGTACTATTTTAGAGATAAGAAAATCCTATAGGTTACAATCTTTTTTTTTGAATATCTCTAATGTAGATATACTTAAAATGTAGAGAAAACGAATATCGAACTTTCATACTTCTAGGCATTCATCAGCTATAAAGTATAAAATCAATAAAAAAATCAATAAGTTCTGATGTTTTAATTAAAGGAAGTTGCAATTTTTAGATTAAACAAAGTTTACAAATTTTTTGACTTGGTAAACAATCTTGTTAAAAAAACATTGATTATTCAGTTGATTATTCACAAAAAAATTTCCTAATAGATTTGCAGGTTTTTTTAAATTACTTTTTATCACCATATAAAATACTTTTGTTGTGTGAGTTGATAGCAAATTCGATGTTTGTCAAACAGGGGTAGCTTATGTTAATTAATGTACAATTTTGGTTGTTACATTTTTTATGAAAGAAAGATTGTACCAGATTATATTTTGTTGACTATTATTTTTGAGAACTAATTTTATATTAAGTATGTAGCCTATAGGTATATCCTGATTGTTATTAATGCATCTTCATAAAGATGAATGAATTTATTTAAAAACTTGATGATGTAACTGATAAGTTATAATGGTTATAACCAAGTTATAATGGTTTTGATATTATATATGGTAATATGTGCTATTATGAATTTTACATATAGAGAACCCAATAATTGTATGTGCAGACAGATTATAAAAATCAAAAATTATTTTTGATTGCATTATGTATAATCTTGCAGATTAATTGCTAAACTATTTTTTAAGCTAAAAACAATTCCTAATATCTTTGTGAATGTATATCAAATAGCCTTATACTCAGGGGTTTAAGTAGAAGAGTAAATCAAGTAGAACGGTGTTAAAAAGTTCAAATTGTTTGTTCAAAGGGATGCGGAATCATTCCTTCAAATTTTTGCTGTAGGTGTATTTTTGTTAGGTGCACATTAGATGTATTTTGAATATTATTGTATTATATATATATATATATATATATATATATATATATATATATATATATATATATATATATATATATATATATATATATATATATATATATATATATATATATATATATATATATATATATATATATATAGTATATATATATATATATATATATATATATATATATATATATATATATATATATATATATATATATATATATATATATATATATATATATATAGGGTAATTCCACATCAAATCACCCAAATTTTTCAAGATTTTGAACCATAGGTCTCATATTTTCTTTAAACTTCTTTAGCTGTTGCATTTCATATAGAAAAGTTCACATGCAAAATTTTAGCCAAAAATGTTCAGCCGTTCACAAGATATCAAGGTTTTAATATAGACCTGGTTTCCCAAAATGACCTGGTTTCTGTGTCATTTTAAAAAAACGTTTGCTCTAATAAAATGAAAAATAATGAAAATAAAAATATGAAAATTAGCATTTATAATGCTTTTCTAATGCAGAATTCAAAAAATGCACTTAGAATGCTGAAATATGAGCAGAACATGCTTTAAAATTAAAAACACACCTAATTTTTATATTTAAACTTAGGGGTCATATATCTCAAAACACCCCCGTCTAGATTTTTTTTTTTTGCTTTTAATATTTTTAGCTACTTATTATCTTACTAGGCACAAAAAACCTAACTGGAAAAATAACCAAAACATATAGAACCATAGTTTCCAAGATACACCACTTTTATGGGTGCCCATAGCAATTTTCTAACAAGGGGGAGGGGTGAGGGAACAACAAAATATTTTTAGTGATGTTCTAATTTAGTTCAATTTACCAAGAATACTTAAAAAAAAGCATATTGCAAAAGACATGGTGAAAACAACTTTTTTTTATTACAGTTAGAGGGGAGGAGAATAGTGTTTCAATAACACCTGGCATTGCCATATCTCTGTCATTTAAACCATTTAGCCAATAAAACATATCAAACTACTTTGTATGAACAGTAGTTACTTAGTAGTGATAAGTTGTAGATGAGTTAAAAAATAGAAAGTAGGATTAAATCCACTGAGACATCATTGTTAACTCTTATCAAGCTCCAATTATCCTACAGCCAAAGATTTGGAAATATCTAATACTATATCATTATTTAATATATTTAAAACTAGAGCTTTTTTTTTTACTGAAAACTAAGTAGGAAAGATCTTTTTTTTTTTGTATCCTTCGAATTGCTTTTTTCTTACTGCAAAAGCATTCAATACACTTCATTGCAAACTAATTAAAAAATTAAAAGGGTATGGCATCACTTAAAAGCTGCTAAAAATCTTCCTAAAGATAGTACTTGTGTAGCAAATTATAGAATTCTGTAAAGAATTAATTTTGGTTAATAGACTTTTTATATATTTAAGGAAGTCTTAATTATATGATAACTTAATTATATGAACTTAACAACTGAAAAAACATCCGGTTTTGTTTTTATATAAAAACATTTTATAAAAAATAATTGTTATGTTAATATGATATTTTTTTTAATTTTGACAACTATAGTTTGTAAAAGTTTATTAAAAATTAGTTAATAAAAGTTTAGTTTATAAAAGTTCAGATATAGAACAACATTTATTGGTAAGATTATATTTAAATTTTAAAAAATTAATAATTTAAATAATATAATTATTTAAAAACTTCTTTTTTTACAACATTTATTAATATTAATAATAATAATATTAAGAACAACATTTATTAAAAATTATATTTATTAAAAAACTTTTTTTATATACAATTAAGTAGAAGAATTTTATTTTTATTTTTAGGAAATACTTTCATACTAAATAATTTATCTTATTAAGATGTGTTCTATTGGGTTAATGACATCAGATGCTTGCGAAGGCCAACAAGATGTTATTGAAACTTTAAGCAATGAAGAAAAAATAATTTTATCTTTACGCTGTAATATTGAATTATCAAACTTAGAAATATTATGTGAAAGACATAA